GGATGGTGCCTTGGATGTACCCACTGAGCTCTCCCACTTTATAAATGGATTAAATAGGAACCCTTTTTTTTTTTTTATTGTAAGGTTCTTTTAAAGGATAAGTTCACCTTTGGGAACATGTTACATGTTCCACCCATTTTTAGTTTGGAACATGTAACATGTTCCTACTCCTGAAGCTTCTCCCCCACTTCTTTCTCAGGTGTGAATGGAAATATCTTTAAATTGGCCCTAAACCTGACACAAACATCTCAACAACAAAAACACAAATAGCATTTAAAGTGTTTGTAAAGTTTTTTTTTTTTTAAATAACAAACAGTTTTATACTTACCTGCTGTGTACAATAGAATTGCACAGAGGGGCTCTGAATATCCTCTTTTCAGTTCCCCCCGCTGGCACTCCTGGCTCCTTCTCTTCTTGGTGTTCCCCATAGCCAGCCACTTGCTAAGGCGGCACTCCTGTAGACTCACTCCAGAGCCACGCTGTCAATGTCCATAGACACAGACAGCACTGCTCGCCCCCCCACCCTCACTGTCTCATCACAGGATTTGACTGACCACAACAGGAGCCAATGGCTCCAGCTGCCCAAGCAAAGCCTATAAGGGTGGGCAGAGCCACTAACGACAGGCACAACTCTGGATCAAAGGAAGACTCAGGTAAGTATAAGGGGAGGTTAAGGGGGCATACTGCTACCTAAACATTTTTTACCTTAAAGGATAAGTTCACCTTTTAGACAAAAATAATAAAAGCACATTTTTATGCAGGTAAAAAAATGTGCATTTATTATTTTTGTCTGCAGAGGCCTTAAAAAGCATTGCACCAGTGATCAGTAATTCGCTGATGCCATGCAGGTCTCCTGCAGACCTGTCAGAATATTTGCTTGCCGTAAGGGATGTACAAGCAAACAGATATTTTGACAGGAAGCTTTAATGAACTACCACGGCACTGTGGAGCGCCATAGTAGTTCATTGAAAACTACAAGCCGACAGCCACTAAGGCTGTAGGAACTTGCAGTTCGTTCATTCACTGACGTCCATGAATGAATGATGTGGCTGTGTGGGCGGAGATCCGCACAGTCTCACTGTTTTAATATTTGACAGATAGTACAGGGAGACGTCTCTCCCCATACTATCTGTCAGAAGGAGGGGGGATGGCAGGCGGTGGCTGCAGCTATCGGAACATGTTACATGTTCCACCCTAAAAAACTGGTTGAACATGTACCATGTTCCCAAGGGTGAACCTATCCTTTAAAGCAGGGAAGGCATTAAGGTAAAAAATGTTTAGGCTTGAAAAACACTTTAACTCTGATCTGTGGTTTCAACCTTTCCATACTCCAACCAAAACTAAATAATGCTTTGCCTTGTGTTGGGCTTTAAACCGCTCAACAGTTTCTTATACCTCTTGGAGGCTCGATTGGTGAAATCCCTGTGGATATGTACACTTGTGTCCATTATGAGAGAGGTATAGACTGCAGAGAGAGAGATATCATTTCCCCCGGTACAAATCATTAGTAATGCCTCATCTGGAATATGCAGTTCAGTTTTGGGCACCAATTCACAAAAAAGAACATAAGGGGGGAACTGGAGAAAGTACAGAGAAGGGCAACCAAACTGGTAAGAGGAGGATGGAGGAGATCAGCTATGAGGAAAGATTAGAGGAACTGAATTTATTCTCTCTTGAGAAGAGGAGATTAAGGGGGGATATGATCTCCATGTATAATACATAAGGGGGGATATGATCTCCATGTATAATACATAAGGGGGGATATGATCATCATGTATAATACATAAGGGGGGATATGATCTCCATGTATAATACATAAGGGGGATATGATCTCCATGTATAAATACATAAGGGGGGATATGATCTCCATGTATAAATACATCAGTGATTCATATAGTGAACTCGGTGTAGAGTTATTCATCCTGAGGTCATCACAGTGGACAAGGGGGGGCACTCTTTACGTCTGGAGGAAAAGAAATTGAATCTCCAAACACGGAAAGGTTTCTTCACAGTAAGAGCTGTGAAAATGTGGAATAGACTCCCTCAAGAGTTGGTTCTGGCCAGCTCAGTGGATTGCTTTAAAAAAGTCCTGGATTGTTTCTTAGATACACAGAATATAACTGGATACTAACATTTATAGGTAAAGTTGATCCAGGGAATATCCGATTGTCTCTCGGGGGATCTGGAAGAAATTTTTTTCCCTGCAGGAGCAAATTGAATCAACTGTGGGTATAGGATTTCGATCAACTGTGGGTATAGGATTATAACATTTTTTTCTTTTTTTTTTTAATGGTTGAACTGAATAGACTTTTGTCTTTTTTCAGCCAGACTAACTATGTAACTATGAGGGAATCCTACTCATCCTGCTGGATTTTTAATGTATTTCATATTATGGCTAATGTAACAGAGGAACTGGAACACACAAAGTTGGGAGAGAATACCCAAAACTCCCAGATAGACAGGAACAATTCTAAGAACTATGGAAAGGATCTTGCACTTGAAGTAACCAAGACATATGAAAAGATAGGGGCTGTCTCAGCTTACCAGGCGTCTAATAGTGCAATTATTTAATATCACTTTTGGGTGAACAGACTCTTTACCATTCAATCACATGCTTTGAGTTAGAAAATGAACGCCAGAAGTCAACTGCCTGCTTGGGGCAACATAGATGGTTTTAAACCCTCTTGATCAGGAGTAGTAGCTTTTTCTCCTTCTTCTCATGGATAAAAGGGCCCGAAACGTTTCCTACCTATGGGTGTAATGATGACGGTGAACTGCATCTCTTCTCCCCGGCCAGTGATGTTGTTGTAGGCCCGGCACAGGTAATCCACAGTCTTTTGTCTGACTTTGTCGGAGAGAAGTTTGAAGTAGGGTCCGTAGTTGATGATTTCAGTGGAGTTGTTGCTCCTCTGGATCCAGGCACAGGTGTTTGGTGGGTTGGAGTCAGCCGAGCAGTCAAACCGAACAGATTCTCCAATGTCAATGGTGAAGACCTCTCCAACTTTAAGTCCCTTATCAGAAATCACTCTCAGACCATAGGGTCCATCTGTTAGCAAAGAAATAAAATTTTCTAAATAATAATAATAATGATGATGTAATACATTTTAAAATACATGTACATGCATGAAAAAAAATCTCCAGCCCTTTTTATACATACAGTTGTGTTTGCACCCCCAGAAGTGTTTACTTATCTTTTTCAGTGGTGGTGGCCTTGTGTTTTATCTGCAGCTCAGCCTTTAAAAAACTTAGTGCCATACTGCCCATGCCTGTGCACTGCCATCCTATAGATTTTGACATGACGTACCCATATTACAGGGACTAATTCCAAATCAAGTCTATGGTATGGTAATGGACTGCTGATGCAACCCCAGAACTAGAAGCTATTGCTGTCCCCAAAGGTAAGTCAGCACTTGCAGGGGAAGGGGAGGTTAAAAAAAAACAACTTTATGTAACAAGGGGGCTAGAGAAAAGGGCTGGGAATTTTTTTGTCAAGCATCAGCAATATTAAGGAAGGCCAGATTAATCTTTAGCTTTAACTGCTCCTCCATTGGAACTAGAGAAGGTAAAACAGTCAACCAGTTAAAAAACAGGATTTAATATTAATATTTTACTAGTTTCTTATAATAAAATAATATCCAGTTTAACCACGTCCCTAAGTATTTACTTTCTTTCCATTTTGGCAATGTCTTGGTTCCACACATTATACCTTTTACTGTTTCATTGGGAAAGAAAAAATTTAAAAAATTTGAAAACATTTTCCTGTATTTGCTTTTCTACAAACATTTATTTGTGCACTCCACCCCCGAAATATAATCAAACAAAAGTATCCTAATTAAAAGGATACCCCCCTTAGTGCAACTTTTCTGTACCATAACTGGATGGTAAAGCTCAATGCAAACTTGTGTTTTATTTTAGGAGAACTTTATTTCCCTTCCAATACTAATGTACATTGCAATCTCCGCAGGGGAAAAAGAAAAAAAAAACACTTTGCGTGAATTTTAAGCATAACATTGAGCCAGACTGAAGAGGGCACAAATTAGCAGAACAGCAACTTCTTCACAGGTTTGCAATCACTAAAAATTCAAATGACATTGCCTTCACTTTACATGAGCATTTGATGCTTGCTTAGTAAATGCAAATGTCATTCAGATCATCCAGTATCATTACTGTGACCTGAAATTCATGTTTCTTTTATTTTATATACTGTATATATAAGTTAATATTTTTCCGGATATATATATATATATATTTATATAAACACTATATTGCCAAAAGTATAGGGACTCCTGTCTTTACACGCACATGAACTTTAATGGCATCCCAGTCTTGGTCCATAGGGTTCAATATTGAGTTGGCCCGCCCTTTGCAGCTATAACAGCTTCAACTCTTCTGGGAAGGCCGTCCACAAGGTTTAGGAGGGTGTCTATGGGAAGGTTTGACCATTCTTCCAGAAGCACACTTGTGAGGTCAGGCACTGATGTCGGATAAGAAGGCCTGGCTCACAGTCTCCGAAGGTATTCTATGGGCTTGAGGTCAGGACTCTGTGCAGGCCAGTCAAGTTCCTCCACCCCAAACTCACTCCTCCATATCTTTATGGACCTTGCTTTGTGCACTGGTGCGCAGTCATGTTGGAACAGGAAGGGGCCATCCCCAAACTCTTCCCACAAAGTTGGGAGCGTGAAATTGTCCAAAAAGTCTTGGTAGGCTGGTGCCTTAAGAGTTCCCTTCACTAGAACTAAGGGGCCAAGCCCAACCCCTGAAAAACAAACCCCACACCATAATCCCCCCTCCACCAAACTTCACACTTGGCACAATGCAGTCAGGCAAGTAGCGTTCTTCTGGCAACCGCCAAACCCAGATACATCCATCAGATTGCCAGACAGAGAAGTGTAATTGGTCACTCCAGAAGACGCTTCTCCACTGCTCTAGAGTGCTTTACACCACGGCATCCGACGCTTTGCATTGCACTTGATGATGTAAGGCTTGGGTGCAGCTGCTCGGCCATGGAAACCCATTCCATGAAGCTCTCTATGCACTGTTGTTGTACTAATCTGAAGGCCACACAAAGTCTGGAGGTCTTTAGCTATTGACTCTGCCGACAGTTGGCAATTTCTGCGCACTGTGCGCTTCAGCATGCGTTTGACCCCCCTCCCCTGTCATTTTACGTGGCCTACCACTTGGTGGCTGAGTTGTTGTTGTTCCCAGTTGCTTCCACTTTGTTATAATACCTCTAACAGTTGACCGTGGAATATTTAGTAGCCAGGAAATGTCACGGATGGACTTATTGCACAGGTGGCAACCTATCATGGTACCATGTTTGAATTCACTGAGCTCCTGAGAATGACCCATTCTTTCACAAATGTTTGTAGAAGCAGTCTGCATGCCTAGGGGCTTGATTTTATACATCTGCGGCCATGGAGGTGATGGGAACACCTGAATCCAATGTATATATATATATGTATATATAAAATAAATTATTTTATTAATTTATTGATAAATTAAATCATTAATAAATTATTACTACTATTTTATACACTATCATTATCATATGGTTGTTTTATTATTATTTCTATCTATGCAGTATATCCGCATACACATCTTTTTTATTCTTCACAGTTTTTTTTTTTCTTTCTTACTGTTAATCTTTTTTAATGTGGCTGGATTTTTTTTTGTAAACATTTTCAACAAGATAAGTGTGGAATATGGCATACTGAAAAAAGGAGGTAGAATACACTCTTGCAAATTACACACCTTTTTTTTTTTTATTTTTCACAGTTTTTTTCTTTGTAACTGTATTCACGGGTGTTTTTTAAGTCTCCTTGGACTTAGACTTTAAACATTTCCAGCAAGACAAGTGTGATACGTGACATAGAGTAATAAAAAAAAAGAAAACAAACAAAGAGAGAATATATTTTTGCAAATATTTAAAGCGGAACGTCACTCTCTCATTCAACATTGACTATTTCTAATCCTTATGCTGCTAGCATTAGTAAATAGATAGGAAAGCATATCATATGTAATTGTTGGACCTTTTTTCTGCATTTCTTCAGTTACTTTCTGGTTTCCATGCCTAGGCAATTGATATTATACATCTCAGAAGTCTTCAGGAGGGGAGGGAGGGTTTTCTACTCAGCTAATGCTTAAAGCGGAGTTCCACTCAACCTATTGAAAAATAAAAGTCAGCAGCTACAAAAACTGTAGCTGCTGACTTTTAAAAAACAGCCACTTAGCTGTCCCTCGGTCCCACGGTGTGTCCCCTGCAGCCCGTTTCACCGGCCGTCCTGTATTCCAGGCGCTGGCATCTTCAGTATGGACACAGCCAGGTACACTGGCGCTGCACTTCATGAATGGTCCTGTAGTCTTCTGGGACCTGTCACGTGTCCCACAAGACTACAGGGAGGGAGGGAGGGAGGACACCTACCACTTCCGATCACAGAAGTGGGAGTGGGTACCTGTCAAATTCGGGTACCTGCTCCCTCCCTGCCCCCCAAAGGTGCCAATCCTTAATGGGGAGCAGGGGAGCAGTCCTTAAAGCGGAACTTCCCCTTTTGGGTGGAGCTCTGCTTTAAGCTAAGGACAGATGGATTCCAGGAAGTGACTGCTACATGAATCTTCTGCCCTTACTTAAGATGGCCACTGCCAGAAATGCCAGAGGGTGATTTTCAAAATTATTTCTCAGCAAAATAAAGCATGCATAGAGGGGTTTGCTTTGAATATTAACAATGAATTATACAAGCATTTTTGGTTTGTGGTGCTCAGATACAGTGCAGTTCCACTTTAAAAAACCTAACAAAAGCATTTATGGGTGAGAAAAGAAGAAGTTCTGAAGTCGCTCTTTGCAGAAATATTGACATGGAATACATCACTTTTCATTTTCTCCCTTTCCCCATAGCAGATAAGCTCTGTAAAGACATGAAACACATTGGCTGGCTTACTGCTGTTTACCAAGCAGGCTTGTAAAATGATAAATCACCTGTCTGGCTGGGACTTTAGTGTAGGGAGCGTTGCGCCGATTGGTTGCGCCAATCGCACGCTCCCGCCCCTTCTATTACCGAGCAGATGGCAGAGGTACTTAGTGCGAGGGACCTTTTTATCATCGCACTCCCCCGCAGTCTCAGCATATGGTGTATGAGAACCCTCGGAGAGAGCGCCGAGCTATAGCAAACATGTTATTGACGAGATATAGATGGAAAGTTGCCACTGCCAAGAACGCCGCTGTCATATTCTGAACTGGAGAGGCGCAAATGATGGTTAACCCTCTCACTGCCTGGGAGAAGAGTTTACCCTAAGGGCCCATTTACATCGATGCTTGTGCGTAGAGGAGCGATTTTTTTTTCGGAGCGTTCGGCACATATTCCTAAATTGTAAACTTTAACGAGCCGGGCCCTCTGTTTCCTCTTCTACCAAATTGTATTGACTGTAATGTCTGCCTTCATTTTGTAAAGTGCTACACAATCTAGGCAGCACAGTGGCTAAATAGTTATCACTTCCCCCTGGCAGTACTAGGGTCATTGGTTCAAATCCAAACCACGGCACCACCTGCCTGGAGTTTGTATGTTCTCCCTGTGCCTGTGTGGGTTTCTGCCCCCACTCCACAGACATGCTGGTAGGTTAATTGTCCCTAGTATGTGTATGTATGAATGTGAGTTTTTAGGGACCTTAGATTGTACGCCCCTTGAGGGTTAGGGACTGATGGGAATGTACAATATATATGTAAAGTGCTGCAAAAATTTAAACTATATAAGTACCTGAAATAAATAATGTAAGGCCAGCCTTATGCTGCTTCCCTTTAAAATAAATACATTTGAAATAATATTTAAATCTAAAATATACCTTTTATATATAATGTAAATATATTACATATAAATAAATATATTTTTGTAGCATTCAGCACATATTCCTACACAGGGGCGGACTGACAACTCATGGGGCCCTCGGGCAATAGGGGATCATGGGGCCCCTGTGTCAGACCACATAACAAAATCCTAGACTTCATTGTAGACAACGCTACAGTTAAGCAATGCAGCCAGGTCCAAGATCCCCCTCCCCCTAGCCTGTGATTGGACCAGGGGCAGACTGACAACTCATGGGGCCCCCGGGCAATAGGGGATCATGGGACCCCTGTGTCCTTTCCCAAACTCAAAAAAGCCTATGAAAAAGGTACCAAGGGAATCTCATGGGGCCCCCTACTGACCCCGGGCCCTCGGGCAGTGCCCGAGTTTCCAAATGGTCAGTCCGCCCCTGTTCCTAGATTGTAAGCCCCAACGAGCCGGGCCCTTCTGTTTCCTCTTGGACCAAATTGTATTGTAACTGTAATGTCTGCCTTCACTTTGTAAAGCGCTACACAAACCGGGCAGCACAGTGGCCAAACGGTTAGCACTTCCACCCGGCAGTATTAGGGTTGTTGGTTTAAATCCCAACCACAGCAACACCTGCCTGGAGTTTGCATGTTCTTCGTGTGACTGTGTGGGTTTCCTCCGGGTACTCCAGTTTCCTCCTATACTCCAAAGACATGCTGGCAGGTAAATTGGCCCTAGTATGTGAATGTGAGTTAGGGACCTTAGATTTTACACCCCTTGAGGGTTAGGGACTAATGTGAATGTACAATATATATGTAAAGTGCTGCATAGATTGACAGAGCAATATAAGTACCTGAAATAAGTAAATAAAATGTGTTGGCACTATATAAATCCTGTGTAATAATAATTCATGCCTAAAGGATGCATGCATTTTCAATGCGATTTAGAATTTGGAGAGGGTATGGTTCCTCACCAATAGGCAAGGCTTGTTAATTCATCCACACTAATGTTACGTAGGTTTTGATGTATTGTCATTGACATCTAGGACTCTCCCGATGCACTAAAACATACTGAGATGGGGACAATGCTATTCTCAATATGGGGAGGTTACATACATCCATTTTAAGTGCATTGCAATATGTGTGTTAACATGCAACAATGTAAATGGGCCCCAAAGCTCAAACCTACATACAGTATATGAGAGCTGTTTGACCTGGTTTGTGTTTCTGTCTATACAGCTCTGAGATTTACACAGCTCTGCCGCACAGCACAGCCCTGTTTCGTATAGGAGGTGAACTGATGATCTTTCATTGTGGCAGTTTCATTTTCACTTACAGGTCTTCTCTCCACCACAACCCTTTGGACGGATGACGGATGAGCTCATCTCTCTGTGACTCTGCCTTCTCCATCTATCAGCATGCTCCCTGGACTGCACCACATCAATGCTATTTTTATTATGGGGAAGTTGCACACATCCATTTTAATGCATTGCAATGTGTGTGTTAACATGCAACAATGTAAATGGGACCTAAAGCTAAATTCCAGGAAAACTGCTACTTATATGGGAGCTGTTTGACCTGATTTGTAATTCTATCTATACAGTTCTGAGATTTACACAGCTCTGCCACAGAGCACAGAGCTGTTTAGAGGTGAACTAATCTTTCTGTGTGGCAGTTTCACTTTCACCTACAGGTCTCCCCCCAACCCTATGACTTGAAAGTGAAAGGAGAGGCAGATAATCTTTCTCTGTGACAGTTTTGATAGCCAGGGGCTATCGTCGGGGAGATTGACTTCAATAAATTTCACTTTCACTTACAGGCTTCCCCAAACCCTATGACTTGAAAGTGAAAGGAGAGGCAGCAGACTGATCAGCTCATCTCTCTTTCACTCTGCCTTCTCCACCTATCAGCATGCTTCTTAGACTTTGCCACACCCGTTTGGCTTCTTGAGTTGCTTCTCTCTCCCTTTCTCTGAGCTGTGCTGTACAGGGAACTGTATGAGTCTGATACCAGGCCAACTTTGGCTATTAAGCCGACCATAGATGGATCAAATTTGTGGTTGGTTCAGCAGGAACCGGCTGAACATCAATCCATCTATGGGCAGGCTGGTTGTACTAAAGTCGATCTATCAATTGATTTCAGTACAACCAGCTTGTCAGGTTTATTGTTTATTTATTTTATTTATTTATCGAGTTTATATAGCGCCAAAGGGTTTGCTCAGCGCTGTACAATAGAGGGGGGACAATACATGAAACAGAACAGTAACATCAAACAGTACACAAGGGGTAAGAGGGCCCTACTCTTTCGAGCTTACAATCTAGGAGGGAGGGGGTAGAGGCACAGGAGGAAACGGCTGTGGGGGATGGAGTGGTAGGAGGAGGGAAGGGCAGCGGCTGTTGGTGAGGGTGGGGTAGGCTTCCCTGAAGAGGTGGGTTTTCAGGGAGCGCCTGAAGGTGAGGAGGGAAGGTGACAGTCTGATGGATTGGGGTAGTGAGTTCCAGAGGATGGGGGAGGACCTGGAGAAGTCTTGCAGTCGTGCGTGGGAGGAGGAGACCAGGGAGCAAGATAGAAGGAGGTCCTGTGA